GTGTGTGTGTGTGTGTGTGTGTGTGTGTGTGTGTGTGTGTGTGTGGTGGGTGATGGTGGTGTGTGTGTGATGTGTGTGTGTGTGTATGTGTAAGGAGTTTAATCTTCTTTCAGAGGCCAGTAAAGAGGCTGTAAAGGCTTTACGCAGCATGGGGACATGCTCAGATGTGCTTTGAGATCACTCCAGCTCTTATATGAAGAACAGATTAGACAGGGACAGAGGAAGTGGAGACCCAAGGAGAGCAAGGAGGAGGTGTGAGCAGTGCAGGGGAGGAATCAAGGATAAACTGCATTCCAGGGGGAGGGCACGCAGCAGCAGCAGCAGCAGAGCCTGAGCGGAAAAAGGAGCCTGCCACCGGGAGGAATTCAGATAGACCCGGGGCCAATGCCTGGAACAGGAGATAGGGAGTGGAAAGGAAGCCCAGGACAGCAGGCTACCCTGAGGAAGCAGGCTCAGTCAGAGACTGGGCAGTTCGTCAACACGCAGAGCTACTTCAGCTTATTTATGAACTCCAGTCCCCACTGAAAACAATGCTGGATTTTCCTGTTTAACATAAAATACTGGCATTGCTGAAGGTGATACAAACTCATGATAGGACAGTTCACAGATGTCTTCAAAGACAAATTAAGTAAAAAGCAGAGTCTTTAAGATCAGTCAGTATCTATCACAGATAGGTAGATAGATAAACCCAGAATCTTTCTATCATTTTTCAGCTCATATGTGCGAGAAACTTACTAAATATTTGTTCCAATTTTGACAATCTTAATATTAACAATAGCAGTTTTTTGTTTTGTTTTGTTTTTGTGGGGTTTTTTTTTTGTTGTTGTTGTTGTTGTTTGAGGGGGGCAGGGTTGAGACAGGGTTTCTCTGTGTACCCTTGACTGTCCTAGAACTCGCTCTGTAGAACAGGCTGGCCTCAAACTCATAGAGATCTGCCTGCCTCTGTCTCCTACCACCTCCCAGCTCAATAGCAGATTTTTAGATGAAAGAAACTTGTGAACTTTAAAAAAAAAAAAAAAAAAAAAAAGACCGGGTTTCATATAGCCCAGGCTGCCCTTGAACTCCACATGTAGCTGAGAATGACCTTTACTTCTCCATCCTACTTCCTCCATCTCCCAAGTACTGGAGTTATACACATGTGCTATGAGATGTCTTTCTATATGTAGTGAATATGTGTGGCTCCCATTTGATAATAAATAAAGTTGTTTTGGCCTATGGCAAGAAAGCTTACAGCCAGGTGGGAAATCCAAGCAGAGATGTAGAGAGAAGAAGGGTAGAGTCTGGGGAGACCCGAGCCCACTGCCAAAAGAGCAACAGGATGCCAGCAGACCGGTAACACCATGGTCATGTGGCAACATATAGATTAGTAGGAATGGGTTAATTTGAGATGAAAAAGCTAGCTAGCAAGAAGCTGAAACCATAGGCCATACAGTTTGTAATTAATATAAGCCTCTGCGTAATTATTTTATAAGCAGCTGTGGGACCGTGGGTGGGAGAGACTCATTCCACCACAAGGCTGGGCGGGACACAGAGAAACTTCCTTCTACACACATGCACCGTCACAAGTGTCTTTTCTAAACTGTTCATTAAAAACAAATAATTAAAATTGAAATAGTCACTAAAAGAAAAACATTTTTAAAAATTCACAAGTTCAAGATGACCAGCCTATGATTTAATTACCTGTTAGAACAAAAGGAATGCTCTTCACAAATAGCTGACGAAGCCAGGCAGCGGTGGCACACACTTTTAATCCCTGCATTCAGGAGGCAGAGGCAGGCAGATCTCTGTGAGTTCGAGGACAACCTGGTTGACAGAGCTAGTCCAGGACAGGCTCCAAAGCTACAGAGAAACCCTGTCTTGAAAAACAAAACAAAAACAACAAAAAAACAAAAAAAGGAAAAGACCCAAGCACATCATAGCCAAGCAGCTGCAAGCCAGAAAAAGAGAAAAACCTGAAAGCCACAAGAAGGCAAATAGCAAATAGAAAAAGAGAACAAGCCTGTTGGGTTTGACTTCTCAGAAGCCAAAGAGGCCAAGATAACAGAATACTACCATTACAGTACTCAAATCAAAACCCAAATAAATCCTGTGGGCCCACTTAAGTCAAGATGTGCCTGCAGAGAAATGAAAGCAGAGACCATTCCTCACTCTCAGACTAGCAGTGAGTAGAGTGTTCAAGGAAGCTCTTCGGGATGAAAAGGAATGACATTAGACAGAAGGCTAGAGATTTGAGACTGGTGTAATTAGACTTTTTTTTTTTGTCCCAACTGCCCAGTTCCAAATAACTGACTCAGAGACTTAATATTACTTATAAATGCTCAGCTGATAGCTCATGCTTGTTACTAGTTAGCTCTTACACTTAGATGAACCCATATTTCTATTAATGCTTTGTCATGTGGTGGTACCTTTATCAGCATGGCATGTTTATCTCCTGCTCCCTCTGGGTCTGACTGGGTCTGCTCTCTACCCTTTTCCTTCCCATCATCCTTAGTTTGGTCTCCCTGCCTATACTTCCTGCCTGGCTACTGGCCAACCAGCATTTTATTAAACCAATTCAAGTGACAAATCCTTACAGTGTACAAGAGGATTATTCCACAGCAGACTGGAGAGGTGACTCCACAGTTAAGAACTTGTGCTGCTCCTGCAGAGGACCTGAATTCAGTTCCCAGCACCCACATGGTGGCTCATAACAATCTGTAACTCCAGTTCCAGGGGATATGATGCCTTCTTCTGCAGGCACCAAGAGTGCACAATGTGCATGTCCAACCATCCAGGCAAAACACCCATACACATAAAATAAAACAAAACAAATCTTTAAAAAATTTAATGTAAAAAAAAAATAGAAAGATGAGTGTGGCTCATGCCTTTGATTCCAGCATGCAGGAGACAGAAGCAGGCAGATTTCCGTGAGTTTGAGGTCAGTCTGCTCTACATAGAGAGTTCCAGGACAGCCAGCAGGGCTACATAGACAGACTGTCTCAGAAAACAAAAATAAAAAAGGATAGAAGTTTAGAAGTAAGCAAAGATTTCTGGAAAGGATAATGTATAAACAACCAAAAAACTTAAGTATTTTGTTTAATTTGTTTTATTATATTTTATTTATTTGGGGTGTGTATGACATATGCAGGCACACACAAAGTCCAAGGAGTCCCAGTAGGGTGATGGTGGCATACTCCTTTAATCCCAGTATTTGAGACGCAGAGGACAGCCTGGTGTACAGAATGAGTTCCAGGACAGCCAGGGTTACACGGAGAAACCCTGTCTTAAAAAAAAGGTGCTTTTTTTTGTTTGTTTGTTTTGATTTGATTTGATTTTTACTCTTTGGGGATCTGCCACTCAGCTCCCAAATAAATACGAGACTTATTCTTATTTATGAATGTCCGGCCCTAGCTTGCCTTCTTTCTAGCCCTTTTCTAACTTAAATTATCCAATTTCTCTTTAACTATGTTTTGCCTCTGGGCTTTTTACCTTTCTTTATTCTATATATCTTTCTTTCCTTCTTACTCCATGGCTGACTGTGTGGGTGGGTGGCTGGCCCCTGGTGTCCTCCTCTCCTCCTTTTCTCTCAAGCCTAGATTTCTCATCCTATTTATTCTCTCTACCTGGCAGCCCCACCTATCCCTTTCGTACCTAGTCATTGGCCGTTCAGCTCTTTATTAGACCAATCAAGTGTTTTAGACAGGCAAAGTAACATAGCTCCACAGAATTAAACAAATGCAACATAAGAGAATACAGCACATCTTTGCATCATTAAACAAATATTCCACAGCATAAATGAATGTAACACATCTTAAACTAATATTCTACAACAGAGAAAAATAAGCCTGAGTCCCTGAGATGTGTTTTATTTGTTTTGCAGGCTGGGTAGACAGACCTGTCACATGCCAGGCAAGTGCTCCAACACTGCACTACATCTCCATCCCAGCTGAAAGGTAAGTGCCTTTACTAGCCAGACACAGTGACCCATCTTGTCAACCTTATACACTTGGAACTATTACATGCCAAAATAACATTTTTGTGGGGTTAAAACTTTGTTTCTATTTTGGTTTGGTTTGAGTTGGGTTTCTTTTGGGGGGATTGTTTGTTTTTTCCGTTTAGTTTTGCTTTTGAGACAAGGTCTTTTTTTTTTTTTTTTTTTTTTTAATTATTTATTTATTATGTATACAGTGTTCTGTCTGCATGTATCCCTGCAGGCCAGAAGAGGGCACCAGATCTCACTATAGATGGTTGTGAGCCACCATGTGGTTGCTGGGAATTGAACTCAGGACCTTTGGAAGAACAGCCAGTGCTCTTAACCTCTGAGCCATCTCTCCAGCCCCAAGACAAGGTCTTATGTAGTCAAGGCTGACCTTGAATCCCTGATCTCTTGAGCCATTTCCAAATGCTGGGATTATAGGCATCTGCACCAAGCCTGACTATGGGGTTTTAAAATATAGAATAGTAGCTGCAAGTGGGTCGGTCGTCGGTGGGATTACTATGATGCAGTTCATACAGCCTCTTCTGATTGTAATAAGAAGACACATTGTATGTAGTCCTTAAATACAAAACATTGAGACCGGAGTGGAGTTCAGTGTTAAGGGACTGCCCAGCATGTGTAAAGTCCTGTGTTTAATCCTTGAACTATAAAAAGTAAAAAACAAAACAAAATAAAAATACAAGAAGTTGGGAGTGGGCAAGATGATTCATAGAGTAAGGGCACTTGACAAGTCGGATGGCCTGAGTTCCACCCCCAGAACCCACAGGGTAGAAGATGAACACTGAGTTCTGAAAGTTGTCCTCTGGCCTCCACGTGTGCTGTGGTGTGCACAAATGCCCCCCCCACACACACACAACGAATAAATAAATGCGCTTTTGGCCTCCTGAACAACTGAGATCACAGCTGCACCTTACCACAGCTGGCACCATTGGATTTAAATTATCGGAATTTTTCTTAAAACAAAGCCTGGAAAACTTAGTTACAAGCACACATGCAAATATAACTCAAACTCACGGCATTCTAAAAGCAAAGCTATGGTGTGGTGGCATGGGTCTTTGATCTCAGGACTCAGAAGACAGAGGCAGGCAGGTCTCTATGAGGCTAGCTTGGTCTATGTAGCTTGAAGTATATACACATTAGTGACATTTTGGTACAAGCTACAATGGCTAAAAGCAGAAAAAATTAAAGCTGCTTTTCTTTGGTTTTTTTGTTTGTTTGTTTTTTGAGACAGGATTTTACATAGCCCAGGTTGGCCTTGAACTCACTACTCCCGATATTATGACTAGAAACTTTCAGATGATATTATCCTGCACCCACAAAAACAGAGAGAATTGCTAATAAAAAGGATCAATCCGGTAACATAAGGTTTCAGAGAAATGAAAAATAGGAGGGCTCAAACAAACAAACAAACAAACAAACAAACAAAAAGCATGATTTTTAAACATTTAGAGGCAATTGCCAGAAAGCAAAACTTAGGATGAGGCGTGTTAGCAGGATTCAGAAACCAAACGGAACAAATTCTCAACAGCCAGCAGTGGAACAATTTGAGCAATAAAATGAATAATGTCTTGGGCTAGAACCCAAAGTCTAAAATAAATAAACATGAACCCATAGTGATCTAAATGAGTAAATAAACACATAGAGGAAGTTAGCACTGTAATCCCAGCACTTGGGTGACTAGAGGTGGAAGGTCAGGAGTTCAAGGCTTTCCTCTGCCACATTTCAAGTTCAATACCAACCTGGGCTGATGGTGCACTGTTTCAAAACCCTAAAAAAAAAAAAAAAAAAACCAAGGTGAAGAGACTTGGTAGTGACTTCTGTAATCAAGTGGTGCCTCCTGTCACCAGATGAGTTGGGCCCTTCTCCTAACCAAGGGGAGATCACAAGAAAAATTCCAAACTTTTGTAGGGACATTCTACAAAATGCCTGATGGGTGTCAGGAGAGATGGCTCAGTAGTTAAGAGCACTGTCTACTCTCCCAGAGGTCTAGAGTTCAGTTCCCAGCATCCATGCTGGCCAAGTTACAAGCACTTCCTAGAACTCCACAGCTCCTCACAATCCAGTGCCCTCTTTTGGCCTCTTTGGGCACCTGTGCTCAATCACATGCACCTGCCCCTCACACAAATACATATGAATTAGGGAGGGGGAAAGCCTGGAGAGATGGCTCAGCAGTTAAGAGTACTGGCTACTGTAGTGGGTGGGTGGTTGTGCCATGCCCTGAAGCTCCGCCCCTAATGAAGCAGCAGGTAGCTGCTAGGTACCTGCCCTTTGGGCGTGGTCACCAGGGACCCTTAAGACATGGGATGCTCTCTCTTCTCTTCGCTACCTCATGGTCTTGAATGTTGGTGCGGATCAAGGCACAGCTCTCCTGAGAACCACAGTTGGCCCGTGCCCCACCCTCCAGGATTCCACGACCAACTCCATTATTCTGGTTGTGAGTTAACCCCGGAATAAATTCCTTTGACCATCAAGTAGACTCTGTGGATTTATCCCATTAGGCTACTCTTCCAGAATTCCCAGCACCCACACGGCAGCTCACAACGTCTGTAACTCCAGTTCTAGAGGATTCCACACCCTCACACAGACATACATGCAGGCAAAACACAAATGTACATAAAATAAATAAATCACTTTTAAAAAAAATTAAGCGGGCTGGTGGTGGCGGCGGTGGCGGCGGTGGCGGCGGTGGCGGTGGTGGTGGTGGTGG